GTGGTTTGAATAGGAATTTTAGTCAGCCTAGGCCTGCTATGGTAGTGAAAGGAGGACTGTAGAGTTTTTGCACAATCACATGACTGGGTGACGTTTCTATCCAATTTCACTTGACCTGGCTTGGCAACCGATTTTCGAAGCCCGGGTGGGAAAATTCGCCCATCAGGCCTTGCATTACATTAACTTTAATATTCTTTCGTCTTTCCCTTTAGCATAACCAAACACGCACACACAAACATCGATTTGACAATAAACAAACAACCCGCCTTACCTAACACACTTGTCTATAAATTCACACACACACAAACACACAATATGTCCATGTCACGTGAAACTTGTGCATCAACCTTTTGCTGTTCTCGGTTCTGACCGGCGTGTCGACGAGAAACGTGTCAACTGGTACGGTCGGTGTATGTTGGGCGAAATGCACCCACCGACCGGAGTCCGGAATGGGGTCTGTCGAAGCGAGGCCAGCTTGGCACCGATTCCACCAGCTTCTCTCCGGATTCGGAGTGCCTGAGAGACCGTTGCCAAATGGGACATGTCAATTGAGAACCAGCAATTGACGAATCTGAATGCGCACCTCCTCCTCCTCCTCCTCCTCCTCCTCCCCTAACACACCATCACTTGGTACCCTGGGTGTGTCTGTATGCATGTCTGCAATGTGAGGTCAGTCTATCAAGTAGAGTAGGTAATGACACAAACGTACACACACACACACACACACAAACAGTGTGACATGCACTCTGCGAGAGGTTGATGATCGGAACCGTTTTGCGTGACAGTCGTCAGGCCGAACTGCTGAAATGCAACTTGTTCACTCATTCTGAGGGTCAACAGGGGGCGTGGGTGGGCTCGAGACGAAAGTGCAGCTGGGTCGTGCCGTCGGCGCGCACTGGAACTAGTATGATCGGTCTCCGCGACGACAGTCGTCAACCCAATTAGTCAAGGCTGCCATGACGTCGAAGGAAATGGACCCAAGCATTTGATCGTTGCTAGGCCTGAGGCCAAGCGGGCGAGGGGAAGGGGGGCGGTGAAAATAGGCTCGACGGAGACGGAATGGAGGCTGGAAAGCGACGTAGGGTCAAGACGACCATTTGGAGACGACCCTTTTTTGTCCGGCCCAGATCACTTGTGCATTGACAATGTCACGCACAACCGCAACTTTCGTCTCTGCCATGGCAGACTTGTCGCTTCCTGACGCTGCCTTTCTCAGACAGCCCATCCGTTCAGCCACGCCAGACAGCCAGCCACCCAGCCAGCCAGCCAGCCAGCCAGCCAATCAGCCAGCTTAAGTGGGAGAAAGAAGAGGGCAATTGAGCGGTACCAGTTTGCGGGTTGAAGTGGTCAATCCGTGCCCCGGGCTTCGGCCATTTGAGGAGCAGGCTGACGTGGGGGAGGGGGGGGAACGGAGACAATCCCGACGCGGTGACAAGACAGGCCGAGAGTGGATGCAACTTGCAAATCGGTCGAGACGAACAAGAAGACAAAGAGCAGCCGGACGACTGGAGGAGGTTGGGAGGCGCATCGGGCCGGGAAGTTGAAAGATAAATGATTCCGGAGAGTGAAGCATGGAGAAAAGGGTGGGAAAACCGTGCTCCCGGACTTCATTTGTCCAGTCGAGCACGGAACTAGGTCTGAAGGTAGGTAACCCGGCGGATGAGGTCTGTGGACGTAAACACACAAACACCAGCATGACTGGATGAACAACAAGAAGAAAAAGGGGTAGAAACGGATAGTGGAGAGAAGAAGGATGAGAGAAGTATAAAAGCATGGAGAGGAAGAAGAGTAAAACAAGAAGACCAAGAACAAGACAAAGACAGCGATGAGGAATTGCAAGGAGGAGGAGGAGGAGGAGGAGGAGAATAACAGCATGAAGAAGAGAAGAGAAGAAGACGAAGAAAAAGGACAATAAAGAGGAGAAAAGATGGACGAAGATGTTGAGGAGAAAAGAAGAATACGATCACGAAGATTGAAAGGAGGAAGGATGAGGAGGATGGAAACAAGAACAAAAAAAGACAAAGAAGATAGAGAATATGAAAGAGAAAAAAAACACGGATAAGAGAAGAGAAAGAAACAATATTGATAAGAAGAGAAAGAACATAAAATAAGAGAAGAGAAAAAAACGAAGAAAGCAAAGAAAGGGACAACAAGTAGGAGTAAAGATGGACGAAGAGGTTGAGAAGAAAAGAAGAAGATCATGACGATGGAGAAGAAGAAGGATGAGGAGGATGGGAACAAGAACAAAAAAGACAAAGAAGATAGATAATATGAAAGAGGAGGAGAAAAACACGGATTAAGATGAGAGAAAAAAAACGATAATTATAAGAAGAGAAAGAACATAAAATAAGAGAAGAAAAAAAACGAAGAAAGCAAAGAAAAGAACAATAGAGAGGTTAAAAGTTGGACTAAGAGGTTAAGAAGAAATGAAAAATAAGATCATAAAGATGGAGAAGAGGAAGGATGAGGGGGATGAGAACAATAACCAAAAAGACAAAGAAGTTGGAGAGTAAGAAGGAGGAGGAGAAGAACGTGGATGAAGATAAGAGAAAGAAAGAATAATTTAAAGAATAAAAACAGCATAAAATAATAGAATAGAAACAAACGAAGAATAAGAATACAAAGACAATAAGGAGGAGAAAAGTTGGACGAAGATGTTGAAGAAGGATGAAGGGGATGATAACAAGAACAAAGAAGACAAACAACATGGAGAGTATGAAGGAGGAGGCGAAGAACAGGGATAAAGAGAAGAGAAAAAACAATAATGATAAGAAGAGAAAGAAGATAAAATAGGAGAATAGAAACAAAGGAAGAACACGAATAAAAAGACAATACGGAGGAGAAAAGACGAAGAGGTTGAGGATAGAAGAAGAATAAGAACAAGGAAGCGGGGGAGAACAAGAAAGAGAATAAGGAGAATAAAAATATGAAGTAGGAAGAAGAAGAGACGAGAAAAGCTTCTGCATGAGGATTTGAC